TTTTTTTTTTTTTTTTTTTTTTTTTTTTTTTTTTCAGGATGATGAGCTGTATTTCATTTCAAGGTTGTATTTGAACTTTAGACAATTTTATTACATGCTTCAAAAAAATTTCGTTTTGTAATTTCTTCAAAGTAGCGTACTCTTTTGGATCACAAGTTTTTTATTTGCACTAGTTTCTGGAGTTAACATTGAATATGCAATCATCTTCCTCTCTCTTTCTTTGCTGGACTAAAGTCACAGTATTTTTAATCAACAAAATCTGTTGATCGTGCGGGTATTCTTTATTAGTGTTTTTGGCGAGGAAGTCACTGTCAAAAATGCCATTTCTTCTGACATATATGTAAATATATAGGGCCGTCCGATTTCAGTTTGGTGTGAAAATATTTGTCGCGCCAGGACCAGAATAATATTGATACGGCCGGCTGGCAATCCGGGCTAGTGTTGATCCAGCTTCATATTAGGGGTTTCTAACAATCTTACTGTGCGATATTTGAAGTGATTTTGGCGTCATTTTATATGTCAAGTTTCTGACAATAAGAGGCTTGTTAAATTTTGTTGAAATTTAGTTTCCTCGCTGAGTTATTAGCCGAAATGTGCTATTGTTTTCAGTTTTTAGGCTTACTGTTTCTATTACTTTTCAAGTAAATATGACTTTTTTTACCCATCCACCTACGACTTTTTTTTTTATTCTTGGGTTCTGCCAAGTGTTTGTCCCAACTAGTAAAATTTTTACGGAAAATATATTATACGTTTTTTTAATAATGTACTTTTTAGGTTGGAAAGTAGGTTCTAGTTGAGTGTGGTTAGTGTATTTTTTCTACCTGAAACAAAGGCAAAGTCTAAGCACAGCGGAAAAAAAGAGACTATCAAATACTACTGCGACTAAAAAAAAAGACTTATTGCATAGGTAAAGTTTTTTTGCAGGTAATAGGGTTTTTAAAATAGTGAGTTATTTTTTTTCTATTAGTTAGGTTTTTTTAAGTTTAAGTAATAGTCACAAAGTTACTGGATCCAGATGATCCCTTAGTCATTGGGGTTCTCTGACACCCGACGCCTTCCACTGGCGTAGTTGTTTAGCAGACGACATCCCGATCATACGGCTCTGACAAACAACTACGACAGTGGAAGACGTCGGGTGGCAGAGGACCCCAATAACTAAAGGATCGGCTGCGACCAGAAAACTTGTGATTTCAGCATGCTGTTATTTCAAATAAAAGAAAATTGTTGCTCGAAAAAAGAAACCTATCACTCAAGAAAAAAGAACCTAAGTACTTGAAAAAAAAAAAGACTCACTACTTTAAGAAACCCTTATACCTGTAAAAAAACGTTATCTGTGTAATGAAAATAAGTCTTAAGGTTTATTCAGCCGCAGTAGTATTTGACAGTCTTTTTTTTTTTTGCTGTGCTTAAACTTTGCCTTTGTTTTGGGTAGAAAAAATACACTAAGCATACTCAATTAAAGCTTACTTTCCAACCTAAAAGATTCATTATTAGAAAAATGTATAATTTATGTTTTGTCAAAATTTTACAAGTTGACGCAAACATTTGGCAGAACCCAAAAATAAAAAATAAGTCGTAGGCTTCTTCATTCCCTTTATTTTTCTTCCCAGCTGTAGAATTTTCATATTCTTTCAGTCTTTTTTCCTTTTTGTAATAGGCTGGTTAGACACAGGATATATTTTTACTTCTTCTCTCGTCATCACTTTCAAATTCAATTCAGTATTTGTTATTTTTACTAATATTTTTTGGAGTTTTCTTAGCTACTAAGCTACTGTGCTTTCCCCTAATGCCATTTCATGACTCCCTTTCTCAGCTAACTGTGAATTATTTTTCCCTCTTTTTACATTTTCTTGAGGGACTCCGAATGTAGATTACAGTAAAGGGTACTTGCACACTTAACAAAGTTATTGCAGTAAAACTGTTAAAAAGTAGGTGTAGTAAATTGCAATTCCTTCCATATTTTGGCTGAAATCTCCGCTGAAAATGGAAATTACAACAAGAAATTGCAAACATAAACAGATAAAACCTTATCAAAAAATATAAAACAGGTGCAACATCATTAACTCAAGTTACTTAAAACTTTAGCATACTTTTACTGAGTTCACCTAGGTCATCTCCGAGTGTCTCTGTATTGCACAGTGGCACTGCGCCAAATCCGCTGGAATTTAACCATGACAACCGATATTTCGCTCTCAAAAAATTTACACCAAATTGAGATCGGACGGCCTTTTATGTTTATTTATTTGTTTATATTTATATTTGGATTCGGAATTTACAGATTATACCGCACGTTGACTCTCTGGCTTTGAATGAGCAAGAACTAGCATTCTTTTCTCATGTGGCAAATGGCCCTTATGCTGATTTGTATCCAATGTCTCCAGGTGCTGTTCACGTACATAAGGTAAGTGATTTCTCTTACCTTTGTTAAAATGCCTATTAAGGTATTGGAAACCCAGGAATGTTTGAATAATTTTATTGTTTGAGTTCTAAACCTACATTTAAAACTCTTAATACCTGTTTATTTTCAAGGTTGTGGAAATGATATATTGGTTAATAACGACTTACGGTTTCGATAAGACTGACCCGACGTCGAGAAATTATGGGTACAAGCTGTCGAGGATTCATTTTCATTCATTAACTTTTCATCTAATGGTCAGTATTTTTTCAGCATAACATAGCGGTGGTATTTGAATAGTTTATGCGAGCATTCAGTACATTTTTGTTTGCTCAGGTTTATCGTGGTACTGACTGGTCGAACCTGGCAGCAGGGCTTGCAGCTGGTGCCAGAGTAGCAGCTCGACAAGCGTGTCAAGCATCTAGTGATAACAACATGGAAAATGTTGAACTGAGAAGCTCAATTTCATTTTTACTTGATAAACAGTTAGGGAAATATTACAATTTCGAACCGCAAAAGTAAGACTTTCTCAAAATTCTGGACATATTTTCGCTGAGATTCTAATCAGACAGTAAATTAAGGATTAATATTTTGTTGTCCTCCAAAATCTAATGTTTTCCCGATTGCAGGCCTTTGGTTTCGTGGATGCGAAATGATGTTGTTTTTGTTTATACGCCGGTTTTGGTTTGCAAATTTCCTACTAGGACTGTTGGTTTAGACGATGTTATTTCTGCCACTGGGCTTCTTCACTCACAATTCTATCGGTTCGAACGTAGCTCTGCTTGGTAAAAAGCAAGTCTAGATTTTTACTCAGTTTTATTATATGCTTCACATGTTTACCATATTTTCATCCTCCTCCTTGAAAACAGGGATTGCGAAACTACATTAAATGTTTATTTTTGTTACTGATTAATTTCTAGTGTTCGTGACTAGTCTTTTCATTAAAATTCAATATTTAGCTATAATTGCATAGTTTTTTTTAAAATTTATCTTGTTAGACTTGGTCTTGTGTTTCTTTGGGAGTGGCAGTACAACTGAATTGCAATAGAAAGTGAAGTTAGTGGTGAAACCTAAATGCAAATTCAAATTAATTTTTTTGGCGGTCATAACAGATTTATTTCTTTTAATTTGTTTTTCGAACCTTTTTTTACTTGTATTTTACTTGTTGTTATGACTTTATTGTGCTCATTTTATCTTTTTGTCACTTCTGTAGGTTTTGGAGCTAAATGATTTTTAAAGTTTGGGTTCCTTTTGACTGCAATGAACTTCTTGAAATTACTGTTCTTTTAAAACCATATTTGCCATAATATGCAAATTCACTTGAAATCTGGAAGCTAAAGCTTAAAGGTGCTCTAGTCTCTTGCCTTATATTGTTAAAGTAGCCCCGCATTTTATGCAATTGCTTGGTGCTTTATTCAGGTATTAAAGTAGTTTAATTTATTAGGTATGGCGTCTTTGAATGAACTGGTTTTTGAAATAATATTTCTTAATTTTTGTCTAACTGATATTTTAAATGTTATCATTTACTTTGTTAATGATGGTATTTTTGTAAAATTGCTGTTTTATTTTTTCATTACTGTCAAGTTTTTTTAGAATTGCCTAATTAGACTTTTGTTAATAAATGTACATTAATTAACTCGCCTGGTGTGTAATTTCTGAGTTTTAGGTAAGTATTGCACTGGCTTAGTACTTGCTGATGTTTTCTAATATTTGTCACCAGTTGTTAAAACTAGAACTTGGGACCATTTGTGCATGTTGCTGCAACTGTGCTAATGCCTGTAATGCCAAGATTGATGAAATTTCAACTTCTAGGCTTTTAAAATGAATAAAAGATTCTAAAACGGATTTTAAATGCCATTTGTTTGTTTTTTTGAGTTTGAAGTTATTTTATGATTTTAATGGATCTGCTTAATGCATTTGTTCGATGGATTTTAGTATTTTAGTGACAAGCACTAATGTTTTATTTTAAATTTTTTCACTTAAATACCTTTTGCCAATTCTTCGAGTCTTCGGTAAAAATCTCCTGGGGGCCGTAGAGTGCGACACAGGTTTTGCGATAATACTTTTTGGTTGGAAAGCAGAGCGAGCAGCAGTGGTTCTGCGCACTGGCTGCAGAAGAAGTTGTCGTTGGTTAAAAGCCAGAGTCTTAGAGCGGGAGATTAGTGCTTACGAGAGTACGGAAGGCAGACCTGGCTCTGTATTGAGACTGTCGGAAGTGATGTTGATCTATTTTGATCATTGATTACTTGATTTCTTTGAAATCCATCGCAACGTGCGCACCAGCTATTCCTTGTTTAAATCCTTGGTGAATTTTGATTTTCTGGGCATTTCCTATCTTTCAGTTCGTTCGGGGCAGAGTCAGTTTAGTGTTTTTTGAAGAATAGTCTTACGGAATGTACTAAGGTTCTAGGCTTGCAATTTAGGGTTGCTTTTAAGGGTCTCTTATGGTGGCACATTAGTGGTACAATTGTGTGTGTGCGCTTTCTCTGACCGTTAAGATTTTCAAAACTAGTTTTTTTACTGGTGGTTTCAGATAACGCGATTGGATGAAGAACGCTCTTGGTGTCCTCTATTGTTCTGTACGTGGCGTCAGACGGAAGCTAGGCGCAGTAACAACTGATGTCAACGTAAGTACGCGTAAAGCAAAGAAACCCGTTAAATGGATTGAAGACGCGACCACGTACAGTGAGACGTTCTCAACTATGGTTGACCCATTTGCATCGGGACCATATCCAATTGAGGTATTCTGAAGAACTCATAAGCTGGGAGAGATAGATTGCCGCAATGAACTTTAACTTCTCCTACAATGGATTTTACAGGATTTGGCTCGTTTGAAAATGTCGATTGAAAAGTCGAAGAAAGTAGCAAAGAATGTTGTTAATTCCAAATATGTTAAGTCTGTTCGGGAACAAAACAAAACTTTAAATTTTGATCGAATTCCTATTGGGGACCAAGTTGTTGTGTTGTTTCCAGGCCAGGGGGCACAATTTGTAGGGATGGGCAGTAAGGTAGGTAGGGCACTTTTTGGTTTTATTTGTCGAGTTTGAATAACACTATTTACAGTAAACAGTTGCAGCTTACTGAATGCTCAAGCTCAATGGCACTATTTGACGAAGCTTCAGAAATTTTAGGCTATGACATCAAAAAAATTTGTTTGGAGGGTAAAAGCTTTTTCAAATGTTTAACTATTTTCTTTTTTCTTTGATTTGATTGGAAAAATTTATTTTTTAGGTCCGAAAACTAAGTTGGATCAAACAATATACTGCCAGCCTGCTATCTTTGTTTCATCTATGGCTACCTGGGAGAAGGCAAGGCAGGAAGATGAAACTTTGTTTGACAGAGTTACGCATACTGCAGGGTTTAGCATTGGAGAATATAACTCCCTAGTATTAGCCAAAGTTTTATCATTTAGAAATGGTATTTTTTAGGTTAACAGTATAAGGGCTATCAAATTTTTCTCTCTTTATTGTCAATTCGTACATGTGGCTTGCACCTAGTTTCCTTCCAAATTGAAATGTGATTTTACCTGCTGCTTTGTTACTGTAGTTTCTTTTCAGCGTTGCGTATCATCAAGGTTCGAGCTGAAGCAATGCAACAGTGTAGCCAAAAAATAAGTTCTGGGATGTTGACTATTCGAGTATCAGGAGCCTCTAAGCTTGCTGAAGCTATGGCGGAAGCACGTAAATTGGCTCTGTGTGTCTTTTAACCAAGTTATTGAGACGTTTTTTTTGGAAAAATCCAACCTTTATGTTATTTTTAGGGAGAAAAACGAGCTACCAGTATGTGAAGTTGCAAACTTTCTGTTTAGTGGTGTAAAAGTGGTTGGTGCTTCCGAGACTTGTATGAAGTTTTTGTATGAGAATCAGGATCGTTTTGCTTTTAGAGTTAGTTTTATAAATTGCATTTGTGGGCTGTTGTCGGACTTTTAGTACTGGAATCACGTCACATATGTGGCGTTATACTTTAGGTAATGTGCAGGGGGCAAAAAAATCAGATTCTTTTTAATACCATTTTTAATGTTTTCGTTTCAGATAGTTAAGCGATTAGATGTGAGCGGGGCATTTCACACAGTCCAGATGCGTGACGCCGTCATACCCTTGAAACAAGCTTTCTCTGGTATTTTTATATAATAACTTTTTGTTGAAAAAATTAGGTAGCGCTTATTTTTCAGACAAATTTTTTGCGTTCAAAGGAGTTCCTGGCTTAATAGCAGTAGCTTCTTCCTAATTGCTTACTAAAGTAAATCCTTCTACTAACACTTCTTAGAGTTGTGTAGGTGTGGAGGTCAATAATCCTGTGATTAACGTTTATTCTAACTACTCTGGACACCTTCACGATAAAAAGAAGAGTAGTATTCGATATTCGCTTATTCAGCAGGTTTTTAACCCGGTTAAATGGGAACAAATTCAACAACTTATATTCCGACTTCATCAGGTAATCCCAACAGTAGTTTTAATTTTATTAAAGCATTCAATATTTTTTACTTGCATTTTCCGGTTCTTTAAAGTTTTTGATAATAAGTTAAGTTGAAACTAGTCTTTGTACAGGTTCTATCTTTCATACAGTAACACTCAACAAACCTCTAGTCTTACCTCTTTGGAAGTTGTAAGAAGTTTACTAAAGGTACTTTTAGCTATTTTTGATGAATTCACTGAACTTGATTCAGGGTGATACTTTTCCGACATATATGGAAGTCGGGCCTGGGAAACAGCTTGGTTCAATGTTCTATCACATTAGTAAGAAAGCTTTCAAGAATTACAAAAACTATTCTTGTTAGTAAATTCAAGGTAAAATAGTTGCCTGCTGTCAAAAAGATTGTTATGTGATTTGATTGGCCATTTTTAACTCGTATTCTGCTTTATGCTTTGGATATGCGTTCGTTACCTCGAATTTTGAAAGTTTTTGTTGATGTATTTTAGTGGATGAGAATCATAGTTGAGCAAGTTGTTTATTCTTTTAAGCAACAAGTCTTTTTTAAATTTAACAGCTTTTTATACAATACGTGCAGCATATTGTATTTTTTCGCTTATATTCATTGTAAGAAAACGGTTGAAATTTTTACATTGCTATATTAAGGGCTTAGTTCTAAGAACATTAGAGTTAGCATTTATGCTGAAGTAATAAGAACATTCGAGGGAAAACATTCTATTCACTTCTTTCTGAATACTGTTCATATTACGAGGACGGACCGCAAAAGACAAAAAAATTTATTTTTTATCTGTAGACTGGTTTTAAGTGTTGAAAAACCTGATTTTTCAAGACATTTGACAGATCACTTTTTGGTAGTTTATTTTTTTCGTTTGTTCTAGAGGAGAAAGGATCCGAAAACTAATTACTTAGTGATTTTTTTGCCAAACGCGAAAGAAGTATCTAGTATATATTAAAAAAGTATTAGGCATCTGAGTCTTCGTACGAGATCAATGGAGGAATAAGAATATGGTGGTAAAAATGTACATCATTAAATACATATAAATGCATATATTTTTGGTAGCCAGTTTGGTCACCATCTTGTGCTTTGATACAGTTATCTTATTACCCTGATGATACAATGCGAGCGACGATAGCTGCAGACAGGATTGTGGTAATTGGTCTGTTATTTTCATTTGCTCGTATAGTATTTCGAAGCTGCAAAAGAAGGTATCCTATTTTCGGTTTATAATGGTTACGAATTGAACTTTAAAACTCAAAAGAGCCGGGACCTGAATATTGGTTTGATAATTGGCAAAAAATTTCAATTCAAACATTAACCCGGAAAATCCAAGAGCGATATATCGGAGTACCATGTCTGCTGCCTTACGTCCGCAATACTGTGTTGTCGGTTTTTCCAAACATTTTGCTAGCTGGTTGATGCTCCTAAAATTGTAATAGCATTGAGAAAATTAAAAAATATTTTTTACAGCTTTTTAGTTGGAGTAGTTAAATCCTCGCTGCTGAGTTTGCAAAAAAAAATACAGTTTTTCAAACACCACCTAATTAATGAGAAAAAAGTTAATTATAGCTACTCTAGTAAAACCGTAATAGAGTTTTTAACTGTAAATGACAATAGTTTATTTAATTGTATATTACTTCTGTAAAATTCAAGTATTAGTTGGTGCAGAAAGTTACTGATCTAGATGTTTAACCTGCATAAGTTATCAATACTGCTTTGGATATGATGTTGATTGCGTTCTTTAACAGCTTCATTGAAAACATTTATAACACCTAAAGTTCCGTTGATATCTCCTTTACATTGTTCGATTACTACATGTTCGGTCCTTCAACAAAAAGATTTGTTTTCTTTTCTTTTTGTGGAAAAAAAATATTTAAGCTTGGATAAATGAGTGTGTTGTTTTTGTTGGAAAATAAAATTGCTAATTACTACGGCCAAAATGAAGTTTCACACAGTTGAAACAACTGTTGTTTCAACTTTACTACACTGTTCTGTGGTGTGTTGTTTTTAACAAGTAAAGCACTTACCGAACGAAACATGGCAATATTTCAAGGAACTCTGCAAATAAAAACCACCATTAACATTGGTTACAGTAAATTTTTGTGGCATTTAAAAGGTGGCAATAAATACGTTATGCTTTGGCAGTTGTTTGGAGCCACAGTATTTTCTTGTCTGGATGAACAGAAGCTTTTAGCAATTTTTGGGAAGAATTTGATAAGTTAGGAGCCAAAGAGGACGGATGTTTGACAAAAAAAAACAGTTCATCGTTATAACGTGATAAACGAGGGGAATTTGGAGCAAAAAAAGTTGGTACTGTATGCGGCAGCAGTATTTTTGTTTTTATTGACTTAACTGTATCTGTTTTTTTTATACTAGAAAGATTGGTCTTGTTAGAGTCTACTTATGCTTATGAAACTGTAGTGTGATTTATATGGTGCCACAGACAACTGTTGTTTCTTTAATTTCGCAAAGATAATTTATGTTTCAGTCAGTGCTTCTCAAAAATATTTCAGCGGAAACGCCGTTGGAGTAAAAACTGAACTTCGATTATAATTTATTGCTTATACGGCAACAAATAATACGAGTGGGAAAAAATGGGAAAGAGAGCGAAAAAAATAGACGGAAAATTTTGCATGTTACGCAACAAATTTTAGCTGATGTCTCAAATTTTAGTATTCGCACAGCAAAAGACACATTTGCAGAAATACAGTAAACACTGTAATTGTTGACACTTTAAAATGTTATTTGTTGGTTGAGAAAAACAAAAAAAAAATGTTTTTTTTTTAGTTATTGTGTGATTTCAGATTTCTTCCGAGCAACAAAGAAAGAGTACGTATAAACGACCATTCAAAACCTCCAGAAGTTTAGTGCCACAGTGATAATTAGATATCCGACTGTCGTTTTCTCTTAACTGAACACACACACATTTTGTAAATTGTTCAGTATTTTAGACAGAAATGGTTAACTTTGAATTACGGTTGTGAACACTGAAAGCTGTTCAACTGCTTGCAATTGAACAGCTATATGTTTGAAAGAAAGCAAAAAAATATAAGAATTTTGTAGATCATAGAGATGGTTTTCTGTTTCTCAAAGACGAGAATCTTTTTAAAGCTCTCTAATATTCAAGTAAATTTTGACCCATTTTCTGTTGGCGTTACTAACTGAGGGGCCGGCAACAGCTGATGGACTAAGAGTGAGGAAGAAAAAATTGGCTTTTTTTCATACACATACTGATACCGAATTTATATTCCATGCGAGTAAATATAAACATTTTCTACTGGTCTATTTTTAACCTTTGGAAGCAAATATATACTTTGATTTAAGTTGCAAAAATTCTGCTGCAATTTCTCAACAATAGTCATATGGAAGTTTTTTTCCTTTTATTTTTGATGAGATATAAACCACTTTTCTCATCAGTCGCTTTATTGCCATTGTTGACTCAAAATTAGCGGAGAGGAAAAAACCTTGATTTTTCTTTATTTGGATTTATGAATAACTTTTTTTCTTTTGATCACATTTGACGCTATCATTTTCTTCTAATATTCGGTATCTAAGTACTTAGAAATAATCCATAATTCATAATATGCAATTTAACATCCCGCTCAAGAAAAAAAAAAATTTTTTTTTTCTTCTTTTACTGCTATTGTTAAGTAAAGAAATTTTTGCTGCCCCCTTGAAATTAGTGGGGTCAATAAATTTGTTTCGAAAAATAAAGTGGCATTTACAACAACAACAACAACAACAGCAGCAGCAGCAGCAAAAACAACAAAATAAGTGAGAAATTTCACA